CATCTAGGCAGAACCTCCAAATATCCCTTCCTCAAAACTAAAAAGTTCATAGCAACCAGTTTCACTGTCAATCTAAACAATGAATCAAAGGGCTGTCCTTCTACATAATTTTAAGAGCTGTCCGAATCCAAGCTGAACATTTTTTAAAAAGTAGAAATGAGGTGAACAAAATCCTTAGAGTTCTTACAAATCGATTCTTATGAAACGATGAGTTTTCAACAGAAAAAGAACAAAAAATTGTCAACATAGAAATAGGGCAAAATCAAGTTTTACCTCACAGTCCATTAAAAAAGTTATTTTCATTCATTTAAGTTGGCAAAGATTCTTACTGTTGTTTATGAGACCTGAGACAAAGACTACCCTCCTCTTCGGAAAACCTTTTTGAAAAATTTTGCAGTTGACATCCAAATTTTTCACCCGGTACTTCAAATATAAAAAATCTGACTACAGAAAATGATGATGAGACATTTCAATAGGATCATTTCTTGGTATTTAGTGTCACAAGAAAATACATGATGTGAATACTAAACTTCGATATACTGTCAGGTGTATGCACGTTGAAAATGCCAAATATTGGCAAGTTGAGATTTCTAAACAGTGAATTTATGGGGTTTTTAAGTTTTTTATACTCTTCTATACATCCAAAAATGTCCTAAGCTTTATTTTTTTAAATAATAAAAACCAAGCATATTGTTTCACAAACCTGGCCAGTATTCCTGGATGATATGACACTGACATCAGCTGGGTTTTCAATGGCAACAATGGCACGAGCTGCCAGCAGAAGCTTCTCCCAGGTTCTCTTCAAATTTATGATGTAGATGCCTAGTGACAGCAGAAAGCTTTAAACACCTGACCTAGCTTTGCAAACAGACATTCTTCTAAGAAGTTGAATGTGGCAGAGAGTACTATCAAACTCCAGTCATAGAGTCAAGCTCTACTGGTGTTAGCGAAAATCCTGCCTTCAATATAGCACACTTCCGACACTCAGAAGTTCATTGGCCAAGACTGGCCTCCACCCTGAGCTTTAATAGTGTGCAACCCTATCAGCAGGCCAAGTGCATCTTTTCTTTCTTTCCCCGTTAATAATCCTCCATCAGGACCCCAGTGAATTTCTACAAGTTCTTGCCCACTTCCTGGCCTCCTACCACTCTCCCTGCCTTGATTATCAAATTCATCCCCAAAACTCCTTTACATCGTGCCACTCCCGGGTGCAAATCCTTTCCTAGCTCTATCTGTAAGCTGAATTAACTCCCTCACCCACTGTAATGCCTCCCATGCTCTTGTTGCAATGTACCTTCCCTTCTCCAATACCTTCCAAGCCAAAATGTTTATTCCTCTCTGGCTCTTTCCCAGAATTCAGTTGAACAAACCTATTCTCACTACCTATGAAATATAAGGCACTATGAGAGATAATTAGGAACTCAGCTAATGAGCTTCCTCAGCATCTTCACATCTCACCTCCTTCATGATGTGAAAACTGAACTTCAATATACTGTCAGGTGCCAAGTGGTATGTATGTTGAAAATGCTTGAGCCCCATAACCTAGGATATGCCATACTCTTCCACTGGAGCCCAGAAACCTTTCCTTCCCCAAACAACCAGAACTCTTAACTTTTAAAGCCTGTTTCCAACCTAGGCATCTGGTTACATTTATTACTTAGTAGAGAGCCCTCCAAGGCAGATTTAGAAATTACTTCTAGCACCGCCCATCAGAACAGTAGGGTCAGATTTGTCTCAAAGCCGGAATGGCAAAAAAAAAAAGTTAAAGCAATGACTGACCGTCACTTTTCCTTTTGTAGATGTACTGTTCCATTTGGAAGTCAAGGTTGGTGCCACCTAAGTGGGTTCCTGCTGCAAGGAATTTGAGGACATCCTCCTCCTTCATTTGCAGGACATCAAGGGCTCCGGACATTGTGACGGTTTCCCTTTAAGTTACGTGGGAACCTGAAAAACAATAATTAAGAATAGTTAAGAACCTAGTCCTTTTCATTCCAGTGCCTTAAGTGGAGTGGGGGAATAGGTGCATTCTAACTACTCTTTAGTCAAGCAACTTCATACATAAATGCAACCTAGTACACATTCTAGTGTCAGACTGAGCTTACAGTCTATTAGGATTTAATAGTAGACATATGCTTCACACGGAACTGCAGCAAACATTGCTGAGGAAAAAGAGACGGGCAACCAACCAGGTAATTAAACTAAATGTAAATAGTGAATTGAGAGTTAACACTTCTCAAGATACTCAGAAGTAAAAGTTATGGACAAGCAAAGATAACCACCATATGTGAGAAGCGCAGCCATGTTCGAGAACGAGATGAGCAAAGATAGTGGACATGTGAACAGTTTTATCTTCAAATAGACAGACTGCAGGTGGGCACGTTAAAATTACTTCTCGCTGCGGTCATTAGTTTTCTCCAAAACTCTGCCAAGAACCTTAACAGCAACAGGTAAAACGAACGAGCCCAAACAGCTGGTGCCTGGGCCTCTGGACTCACTGCCAAATATCGGGGTCCCAAGCGATCGCAGTGCGTTGACTAGGCTTTCTGAACCCCCACCCACCAGCAGTGCGGCCCGAATCCCAGCCCGGTGCCTGGAACGGAGGGCGACCTCGGGCCGCTCCGGGAGCATTGTGGGAACCCGCGGGCCCAGCTCAGCCACGTGCGAGCCGCCGGGCCGAGGCAGAGCGCATCCAGCAAGAGACCCGTCCTATCTGCTGTCTCTCATCCGCAGTCCTCATGCTCTCCTTCGTCTGAGCAGAAAGGTCGCTCTGGTGGCCCAGGGGTTACAAGGGACCTCACAGAAGACTCACCAAGAACAACGCCGTATGGACCCTATTCTGGGTAGCGCGGAAAAGAACGGAGGGCGGAAATGACGTCAATATATACTCCGCCGCCAGCCAATGACAACGAAAGCCGGGCGGAAGAAGGGAGGAGCCCGAAGGGCGCGAGCCTCCTCTTTCCGGAAGGCGGGCTGGCGGCCCTGGTTCTAGGCAAATAGCGGGCGGGGGAGGTGCTGGTTGGAGCCCGGCGGTTTCCGACTTTCCGGCTGGTCGGCGGAGCAGCGACGTTCAGTGGCTGTCTGCGCTCCTACTGTAACCCCAGTCGGGGTCGCGGGCGTGAAGCCAGCCGGCCAGCCAATCAGGATTCGAGCTCTTCCCCAGCCTTTTGTGTTTACCTAAGAACTTGAGAAGGCCTTCATCTAAGCTGCAGTTTCCTTACGGGGAAGGCGTGTTGAACTCAATAAGCGTGTTTGACGAACAAAAGCTGCAGAGATTATTTTCAGTTCTTTTGAGAACAATTTAGCAATACGTTATTCAGATTCTGAAAGTTCACTTACGGGAAGTTTTCCCGAAAAAAAGGACAAGGCTGCATAGATGCGTGAGAACTTTTTTGGCATAAGAAAAATTACTGTCAATAGACTAGTTAATAAAAATTCATTAACTTAAAAAATTAAATTATATATAAAGTATATAATTTCAAAATAATTAAAATTCTATGTACAAAAAATTGCAGGATGAAAGGGCAATTTTTTTAAAAAGTGAAGCTCTAAGCATTAAAAGTCATTGTAAATAGCCAAAGTATTCATAATTATACAGGTTTCAGCCCTAGTTGCACTTAGAATCACTTGCAGAGCTTTCAAACATGCTCAACCCTGAGCCAAAAAAAAATCTGATTTTTAAAAATAGCTCCCCAGATAATTTTAATGTGCAGCTGGGGTGAGAACCATTGATACACAAATACAGAAACTGGTTGGGCTTCCCCCTTTTTTCAGTATTTTTGAAATTTTGAGGAATCCGGTTGTTTTTAAATTGAAACAAAACAAAACCCCACTGTATTTAAACAAAGCTGACATAAAAAGGGAGTAAACTTAGCCATGGCTTTCAGCAGCTTCAGGAAACTGCTGAAAATATCTGGAAACACTTGACTCTCAAAAAAAGGTTAAGACTTAAAAATAGCTATATGAGGACTGAAAAGCTGGCTTTTATGGACAGTTTTCTGTCACTGCAGGACTTAGCTGGCGGGCCTTCTGGGACTACCAAACCATCTCAGCAGCTCCCTCCCCTATACATCAGTCTCAAGAATACTTCCATTACAACCATAAGGACATTCTTCTGTAGTCATGTTTAGGTATTTGTTTCTCCACAATAAGATTTTTCCTACAAAATAACTTCATCCTTGATAACTGATCTGTATGATGAAAATTCTTGGTGAGGAAATGAGTTAAGTCCAAAGATGAAGAATGTACTGTAGTGATAGTAAGCCACCTTGAGGAGCCCTTGGCCTAAGAGGCACTTGTCAAAGAATGGCTATAACTCCCAGCAAAGTGTCCTCCCCATCTTCAGCCTCCTGGTCCTCTGCACGAGTCTCTCCATATTTTTTATTCATGCTCACCTTTGACGAAAATCTCAGAGCCTTCTTTTTGCAAACTTTGGTTTCTGGCATTTGTATTTAAAAACTAAAATAAAAACAGGGCTTTTTAAAAAACTATAATTGTGCTAGGGACTGTTTTTTTAGGCTACACTTCACATGGCATTGGGTGGCTGAGCGCCCTATTCTGATTATGAAGCTGAGAACACAGGACACTTAACGGCTCCAGGCATCAAGTTCATCTTGGGCATCTTCCCACCCGCCTTTCTAACCACTTCCTCCTTGATCTTCATCACCTGTTTGTCTGGTATCCAGTTGTCCCACCGTCCTCTCCATGAACCTTACTTATAGTAGCCTGAGCAATGTTCAAAATCACTTTTGTCCCAAAACTCTTATTCCCTCCATTAAATGGCATGGTCCCTTATGTCCACTGAAAGCATTCTGTCTTATAACTTTATCACTTGGCATTTTGTAGCTCATATTAGTTCATGCACTGGACTTCCAGCTTCAGCACATGCAATGTCTGTGAACAAGTCACTTCACCTCTCCCAGGAAATAAGAGCTGTTAATATTTCAGCTGCTACCATTGCCCCTGTGCCTAGAAATCTAACAGAGAGGCAAGTGAATGAAGGCTTACTGATGTTCATATTTTATAAACCAAGGAGACATTATAATGCTCTATAAAAAAAAAGCTACATATCAAATATAAGAACTCAAAGGTTTAAAAATTAAATCCCATTAACTAAAAAGGACACAATTGTTCCTGAAATGGAGACAGGCCTGGAGATTCCGGGTTGTTTCAGTCAATTTGGCCCTCAATCTTCAGAGCATTCTCACCAAACACCTGCATCTTCGCACAGGCCGAATAGTCTTATGCAGCCGCCAGCTTGAACCACTGAGTTCAGAAACAGCTGCATCTGCTGGATGTTCATGAGCAAGTTCACTAAGAAGTCAAAGTTCACTGAAGTCCAATGGGATGAATTCTCAGAGTTGGCTGGGCCAAATCTCCTTTTACACAAATGGGGGAACCGAGGTCCAAATATGGTGCAAAGTTACATAGAAAATTACAACGTAATTACAATTAAAACTCATGCTCAGACCACAGTTTGTTCCTCTAAAAACACTGTCTACATACAGGTTTTCTTTATAGTGAGATGGGACCCAAGTTGCACCCTGAAGAATGCAAGGCATAGAGGAAACATACAGTGAGTACACAGAGCATTTCAGGCAGAAAGGAGAGAGTGAACTATGATATAACATATACGAGAGTATTCGGTCAGCATTCATTACTCTACAAGCCCGACTCTGAGAGGGGATTACTGAAGGGCAAATCATCAAGTACAGCCAAGACTCGGGGCAAACAGTACATAGGTGCTATAAGTTAAGGCCTGACAGAGAAGGACTTGGAATATTCTCCTTAGGGAATCCGGAGTATATTCTGCAGGCAGTGGGACTATTAACATTAACATTGGGATGGGTTTTATGAAGAGTTTAGGGGAGCAGGTTAACTTCCAACTTGTTCAGTTAAAGTGGCCATGGGGCAGCCACGTAGGTAGGGATGACCAACAGGTGGCTAGATATGCACAGAAATAATGAGGCCAGGTTTGAGGAATGGATAAAATAATGCGAAGACAGAGGGATCAGTCATTCACTAAACATTTATCGCAGGACTTTTCTATGTCTTAAGGCACAGGTGGAAGCTGGGATACAGAAATGAACAAGACACATGCCCGATGCCTCTTGGAGCTTACAACTGAACTGGAGAGAGAATAAACAGACACTACACAGTCATTTAAGTACAGTAGTGCTAAATGCTACAGAAGGAAACCATAGGGTCTCTGAGTACTTAGAAAGAGCTGACCTAGCACGAGGGGCTGCAGAAAGCTTTCCTGTGCAAATGATGCTTGAACCAAACTCTGAAGGATGGAAAGGAACTTAACTACATGGGGTAGAACAGAGTGTTCCAGGCAGAGAAACCAGCAGTTCAAAGGGACGGAGACAGCAAGGAAGAAGCTGGGGAATGGGTAGGGGTGAAAATGCGAATGCGTCAAGGGCATAAAGTACAAGCGAAGAACACCCAGAGAAGACTTGAGGATGGCTTACACAGTGAAAAAGGAGATCGGTCTGGCTACAGACAACGATATGGGGGAAATAAGGGGAACCAAAAGACAAGACCACATAAAGACAGTTCTTGAATACTAAGCCAAGAAAATGAGGCTGAACACCAGCACCAAATTTAGAGTGGAGAGGGTGGGGCGAGGGGTGGGTGATAATCAGTAAGAGAGGCACATGATAAAAACAGTATATACATAGAGCTAGACTTCTGTATGCTAATTGTTTGATAACAGTTCAGGAAAAAAAATTTCAGTTAACAGTGATCTTTTAAAAAAGTCAAATTATTTACAAGTTCCAAATAAGCAGAGTTAAATCTTAGAAAAACAACATATATATACAAAACAAACTGGAGAAATACCACTAGTGACAGAAATAATGCAAAATGATAACCATTAATACTATGCTACAAAGCCTCACAGTTCTTTACAAAGCCTATTACAAAGCAGCCCTTGTTTTTGGTCTTCCTGATGTCAAAAGTACACAAATTTAGTTAGAGTGGATTCCATTACAAGTGATACTTTTATTGGTTCCTCCTGTAGATGAAATTCAGTGTGCACCACTCTGTTATTCACCTGTAAGAGAAAAGCACAAACTGACCAAAAGAATGTACAGCCCTGAGCAAAAGCCTTTTAGAAATAAACCCCGCAGGATGAGATGGCAGAATTCTGATCCCACCAGGAGAACAATGCAAACACCATTCTAAGGAGATGTCCCACCAAGTACTTAAAACAAAGGACTGTGGGATGGAAAGAGCACTGGAATGAAGAGTCCACAGACCTTGGTTCAGTCTCAAGCTTGCTCCTGAGTAATATCAGGCCATGTAGTTACTCATAGTAAAACGAAACGGTTGGATTACGCTATGTCCAAAGTATCCAACAGCTCTGCAATTCCTGGGTTGGTGGTAAGCACATCTTATCATCTGCTCCCTCACTAAGTTGTGAGTGCCTTTAATGCAAAGCCCACCTATGCTCACTTCTAGACTTTCTCACCATTGTCTCCTCAGCAAGAGTTTTGAAAATGAAGGGTGTTCGATAAAGACTTAATGAACATCAGTGTGCAAAAACAGTTTTCAGTTAGCATTCAGCTAAAATGGATTTCTATACACAGTTAGTTAAATCTGTCTTTACTATTACATATCCCTGAGAAGCTGACAAGAAACTATTTTTTTAAAGAGAGAAATTGAACAATATGAGATATTTGAGAATATGGTTGGATGACAGTAAAAACTGTCCCTCCTTTTAACATTTTCCCTCAAGAGCTCAGCTACGTGAGGAGAAAAACAGTTTTGAAAGCTGCTTAGCATCATACAGAAAATATTAACATTAAAAAAATTTTTGAAGAAATAAAAATAGTTACCACTCCTTAGCGGGGTAAGGAATAATCAACACATAATTGTGAACTCTAGAAGCACTCTGCCTGGGCTGGAATGCCAACTCTGTCACTTATTAGCTCTCCATCTGTGACAGCGGATGCAAATCCCAGCACCTACCTGAGGGTGGTTGGGAGGTTTAAATGGATTCATATCTATAAAGCGCAGAGAATAGTAACTGGCACAGAGTGAGCCATGCGATAGATGTTAGTGTTGCTGTTACTATGCTCATTTACAACCTTTTCTAATTAGCTCTCTCTGTGTATAAAAATCCCAGATTAAGAAAATTAGTTTCTAATCCTGATGTGATAAACCACTAGAATTGGGCCATTCTCCAAACTTCTCTTTGTATATAAATCTGCTGAGATTTTTCGCCACTCATTCATTCACTGAGCACTGCCCTGGGCTACAAGCTGGGGAGACAAGTGTGAGCCAGTGTGGGACCTCAAAGATGCCCTCAGGGTCTCCCCTGTCCCAGCTGAGTCAGGCCAAAGCCCGCTACAATGGAAGAACTTCACAGTTCACCTAATAGCCCACCCCTTTTATCAGCAAGGGACAGAAAGTGTCACTATCAGTTTTCCTTGGTATCTGGCCCAACCACGTCTTCTGAACAATGATGCCACGGTCTACTAAACTCATGATCAGTCCGTTGTTTTGAAGCAACTTTTCAGTATCTCTCATGTTTCCATGGCTAAAGTGCATTAGCTTTAGAGTGAATGGAGCACATGGTCACTTGGAATTCACTTACTTTGGTGAAAAAGTCAGCGATGTGCCACCTATTTCCATATTGTTTAAAGACGTTGGTCATTGCTTCGATCATCACAGAGCCAGTGCGGGGGTGCCGTAAAGCAACATGATCTACAAAGAAAAACAAAAACATTTCGTCCATTTTCCTCCTCTACTTGCAGCTAATTGTTCTTTCACTGGCTATTAAAACATGAAAAATGGCTTTGATCTGAAAACACAGAAACATTCTTGCAGGAGCGTTAGCAAGAGTGTGTCTGGGGCCATAACAGACATGGGCACAAACACAAGAAGCACTTGAGCCTCCCAGGGGACTTGTGTGACAATTGGCACAAAACCTATCAACAGGACATTCTTTTTAATGTGCATCTTTTAAATAAAAACTTTTAAAATAAATACACATGAAAGTAAAAAGTTTAACAAACCCCCATGTAATCATCCCTCAGATTCAACAGTTATCATTTTGCCATTTACTTCATTTTATCCTGTTTTTTTTTTTTATTACTGACTTTTGCAATAGCATTTTAAGCTAAATACACACACACACACACACACACACACACACACACACACGGAATTTATTTTGGGGTCCTCAAAAGTTTAAATACTGAAATTATTTTTATTATTCTATTTAAAAACATTAACACGTCTGTTTAATGTGGAAATGCAATGAGAATACCAAAATTGCACCCTCTCATAATAAATCTGGGTTGGAAATGAAAAAACATAGGACATCTTTGGAACCTCAGTGTAGGCAAAGGTTTCTTAGAACACAAAGCATAAAACATAAAAGGAAAAAAAATTGATAAATTGGACTTAATCACAATTTAGAACTTTTGATATTTATAACACATACCAGAGAAAGGACTTGTATCCAGGATATATAAGGGACTCTTACAACTTAATAAGAAAAACAAAGTAAAAAAAACAATATAAAATTGGGGAAAACGTATATGAATGGCCAATAGGCACATGAATAATCGTTATTATTAGTCTTCCAGCAAATGCAAATTAAAACCACAAGGTGATACTATCATATATCTATTCGATTGTCTAAAACTTTAAGAGACCGTACCAAGTGCTAATAGGGATGTGAAGCAACTGAAACTATCGTACTCTGCTGGCGGGAATATAAAAGGATGCAACCACTCTGGAAAATAATTTGGCAGTTTCTTTAAAAGTTAAACTTATACCTCCTGTGTGAACCAGCCATTCTATTTCTTGGTATTTACCCAAAGAAAATAAAAACCTACGCCCCCAAAGATCTGCGCATGATTGTTCATAGCAGCTTTATTTGTAATAACCCAAAACTAGAAACAACCAAATATTCAAGTGAAAGGATAAACAGAGTATTATATCCACACAAATGAACACCACTTAGAATTAAACAAGAATGAACTACTGATATAGAAAACAACATGAGTGAATCTCAAAACCATTATGATGTGTGGAAGAAGACAGGACAAAGACAAACAAAACCAAGCGTACTGTGTAATTCTAGTTCTACGAAATTCCAGAAAACGTAGTATGATCTGTGGTAACGGAGAGCAGGTCTGTGGTGACCTAGGGATGGAGCTGGAGGCAGGGATGGATTAGCCATAAGGAAATATTTGCTTATTTTGAGGTGATGAGAATATTTGCTTATCTTGATCACGATAATGGTATCATGAGTGTATACTTACTTTATATCAGCTCAAACTGTACAACTGAAATATATACAACTTATATTTTATTACACCTCTGTAAAGTTGTCAAAGAATCCACAGAACGTATCTGTATAGTATGGGGAACTACATGGAAATTTCACGTTGCCCCTTTTAGCGTGAATCCGAGTTAGAAACACCACATCGCAAAGCCTGATGATCCATCTAGTCCAATTTTCTTCAAACTGCAGATTGCGGCCCAATAATCAGTCAACAAATCAATTTAGTAGATTAAAACCAACATTTTTTAAATAATGGGACAGAATGAAATATCATGGAAAATATTAAAGTGTCTCAACTGCAGTAAGGGCAAGTAGCATTTATAAAATTAGTATTTGTTACACATTTATATTTATACTTTCATATCAGTGTATATAACAGATAATAATAAACTGTATTTTCTCAATTCTAAGGTCTTTTTTTTTTTTTTTTTTCATTTTAGCATCTCTAAAATCTGGACATGCTGTATAATCTCTGCTGGTCATTGATTAATTGGTAGCTTCCTGTTGGCACGAAATAATGGTAGGTCTTATAATCAAGGCATTAGATTTGATGCAATACAATTAGCTGTTTCTTACTGTGGGTTATGGCAACATTGGAAACCTCTGACCTAAAGCGGTCTGCAACCTCTCTGAAGAATCATGTGCCAAGTAACTGTCAAGGATCTTATCAAATGAAAGGTCTTAAACTTCTCATTGCTTTGAAAATGATCAGCAGTGGTAAGTCCATGCCCATGGGTTCAGTCCTCACAACCGATTCTACACCACAGAAATGAATCCCATGACTAAAATTGCATAACTTTAGACTCTGGCCAAAAGCTAGCAAGTTTCCACGGATTTACCAAACAAGGTCAAAGGGATCTCAGTAAGACTGGGATCCCTCATATGTGCGTTGTAAAATAGTTTAGATAACCTCAGGCCATTCACGTGAGCAACAATCACGCACAAGACTAAATACAAATTGCCAGTCAACAGGTGAAAGCATTTTGCAGCTTCTCCAGCATACAGGTGACATGGCTCTGTCACACACCAAGAGTGACAAGCTTTAGGACTTGCAAGGGTCAGGTAGCTGCTATAAATGTCTGTGGTGAGCTAAATGTCAGAAATTTGGATTTTTATGTGCAATCTCCCAATTTTTAAAAGCAGATAACTCAATTTTAAATTGTCGTAAGTTCATTTTTTGAATAGATAATACACTCGAATGGTTCGAAATTCAAACTGCAAAAGGAAGTGAAGTCTACCTCCCTCCTTGTCCCATGCCCAAGAAAAATGGTATCGGTTTCTTTTGCACCCTTCCATATCTGTCCTGTGTACGAAGAAGCTTATACATAAGTGAGTGTGTAACCACGCACCTCTGACCCCAGCAGCTTATTTATTATATAGCTGTTATACCGATTTTTTTCACCAACTCACCTTTGGCGGTTGCTCATCATCAATACACAAAAAGCCTCTTCCTCCGGTTATACAGTATTCTACTATACTTTATTTCGTCCCCTATGGATAGACATTTAGGTTTTTCCCAATACTTTGCTATAATAAACAATGTCAATGAATAACACTGGGCACATGTCATTTAGACACAATTTCCTAGCCAAGGAATTACATGTGTATTTGTAATTTTGCTAGTTAATGCCAACCGGTCCTCCAAAGAAGTTATGCCAATTTACAATTCCACCAGTAATTAATAAGAAAATTCCCTAGCTCTTCACCAAGAGTATACATTCAAACTTTCTGTGCAATCGGATAAATGAACAATGGTACTTCTGCCAATCGGATAAATGAACAATGGTACTTCAATATCGTTTAATTAACTTTCTTCTTATAAAGATGAGCATCTTCTCCATGTTGATGGTGTTCCTTACACTCCATCAGCATCTGTGCTGTAGTACTGCCCATCTCAAAAAACAAATAAAACACTCCTTTGATCTCTCCTCCAGATGGTGTCCCCATTTCTCAACTCCCTTTTTAGCAAAACTACAACAGTTTTGGTTTTATCTGTTGTTTCCAATTCCTTTCTTCAATTCCCACCTCTGGAAAATCTTTAAATATGACGGAACACACACCTGAATATGCACCACCGAGATCTAACAAATATTAATGTCACTGGCGCCTTGGGTCCTTGTAATCTCCCAGGATGGAAATCAAGGGAGATCACCAGACACCAACGTAGTACGAAGAGAACACTTTGAGCTTGTGTACAGGGAAACCACCACTGTGAAAGGGGAGAACCAGGTGGTCCCAGGAGGGAGGCTGGGGGTGAGGGGGCGGTCAAAGGGAACTAGGCAGGAAGTGAACTATGTTCGGGCATGTAGAGGTGGAGGTTTCTCAGTGCTGCAATGTAGTTACATGCTTCTTCATGCATTGCACATCTCGTTAGCATGTTCAATCTCCACCTTTGGGCGTGTTTTTTAGTATTAAAATGAAGGATCACACAGCAGCACCGCTGAGCCTGACTGCCCGTGCGTAGCCGAAGGGACAGTTGTGTGGTCCCTGTTAAGTGAAGTGATTCCTTATGATTAGCAACCCTGGCGTCTTTAATGCTAATTGGTCACCCCAAAATGGGAATCCTTGGGGGACTTATCTGAGTATTAGCAGTTTGCTCCCGTCTGTTCAATCCAACTGACCTAATAGCAGGAAGTTGACTTCCTGTCTCTAATATTTTGCTTTATTTTTTCTAGCTCTTCTTTTCTGGCGAAATACAGCTGAATCCTCAATTTGAATTTCCTCCCTGATTACTTTCTAGTATTTCCTTCCCTATCTTCTCTGCCTCCACCAGAGGCAATTCCTACCACAGAGCTGTTGCCTGTTCTTTCTGCCTGTATTTTTACACTGTTACTAACTATATATTCGGTAATAATATGTTGTTATTATTTTGTGTTTAAAATATTTATATTAAAGATACACTATGTGTTTTATATTATAACTGTCTTTTATCTTCCTTCATTGTTACTGTTAAAGAGAAAAACAAAGGCCCCAAACAGTGTCACTCACTTGTGCTAAAAGCTCATGACACCAAACCTAGATTTAACACCTGATCTAACTGCAGTTTTGACATCTCCCGCAAATGTGATCCTAATTAACCAAATGTGATCCTAATTAACCGATCTGGAATTTTCTGGTCAAAGAATAATAGTAAGGCAATCTATCACGTGGGCCTACTCTACCCACCTATAGAAAGAAGCAACCTGTATAATAACAACCCTTCCCATTCTCTCCCCCTCCCCCAAAAAAGATGTCCCGGTTCCAAAATAATCCTTTCTTCTTTTAATAGCTCCCTTAGACCACTTTTCTTCCTATAAAAATCTTCCATTTTGTACAACCCTCAGAGTGTCCTTCTAGATGCTAGAAGGGATGCTGCCCAATTCGTGAACCACTTAATAAAGCCAATTGGATCTTCAAATTTACCCCACTGAATTTTGTTCTTAACATTACATGTAAAACTTCCCCATGATGATTTTTTTCAACTGCTGCACAGTTCCACTGTATGAATATAGTCACGTGCCACATAACAAGTTTTGGTCAACAACGGACCACATATACAATGGTGGTCCCACGAGATTATAATGGAGCTGAAAAATTCCTATGACCTGGTGCCCTCACAGCCGTTGTAAGGTCACGGCGCAACACATTACACAAATGCTTACCACTGTGTTACGATTGCCTATGATTTCAGTACAATAACATGCTGTATAGGTTTGCAGCCTAAGAGCAGTAGGGAAAAACATTATGTGTCTATTTGGCATAAGGATTATTTTATGTTGGTTAATTTTAAGAAACAGCTTGGGAGAAGTTCTGAAAACCGAGCAGAAGTGACCCTTTGTAAAAGAAATTCACATTTGTAAAGGAAATCTCCATTTGTGAAGGTGTCACCCACTTCCTACAAAGAAGAGAAGAATGACCCTAAATCTCTAGAAACTCTTATCAGAAAAGAAGGCATAGCTTTAAATTTGCATAACAACCTTAACCCTTGCTTACTGTGCTTTTCTAGGTAAGCTCCCACAACATCAGCCCCAACATCTTTTGTCTTCAGCTGAAGATGGTATTGAAGGTGGGAGCTTCAGCCATTTTGATGAGTTACTCAGTTTTCCTGAGTCTCTCCCATGCATACAGAAGGTATACATGCTATTTAACTTTTGTTTTTCTCCTGTTAATCTGTCTTTGATTATAGGGCTGTCTCAGCCAAGAACCCAGAAGAGTAGAAGTAAAATTATTTTTCTTCATCTACAGAGCAATGGGCTCTCCTATATGGCCTAGGTGTATACAGTAGGCTATACCACCTGTGTTTGTGCAAATCTACAATGGTAACACAACAACGAAATCGCCAAAGGATGACACCTTTCTCAGAACGAATCCCCAGTGACTGTACACCACTCTCAATGTCTTATAGTTTCTCTTCCCCTTCAATTCTCCACACTGTAAACAATCTCAGAGGAGGGCCCATGTTAGAGTGACCAACTCGTCCAGATTTGCCCACTTTCCCAGTGATAGCACTGAAAAGTCCACTGTGCCAGGAAACCCCTCAATCTCTGGCAAGCTGGGACGGCTGGTCACCCTATCCCATGTATACATGGGCAGAAGGGCGGAGGGTCTCAGATTTTCTCAGTTCGCGGTACGCGTAGCAACTCAGTAATTTTTTCACAGTGATCCTAGGCCAAGAAAAATAGAATTCCGTTTAATAAAGTAGTTAGAATACGAATGTTAAATTTACACCTGATAATCTATTGTTATTTGGGGTGGGGGCGAGAGACCACACAAATTGAAAGAATAATATTTTCATTTTATTCTTAAATAATCACAATTACTTACTAATGGGATGTGCACATCATCATGGTACTTGCTTTTTATCTCAGCCACCCTCCAAAACCTAGCTACCCAAATATATGATATCACCGAAAAGACTGCGGTGCAATCTAATTCTTGAAACTGTAAACTACGCGAACTATGTGACGTTACTGTGGACCCTCAGTTTGGAAACCACAGCATTAGGGTGTACACTAAGAAGTGAATTTGCTGAGTCGTGGGATAAACATATTTTTAACCTGACTAAGTTTCCCACATTGCTCTCCGAAGAGGCAGTACTAACTTCCTGATGGGAGTGGCATATGGAAATACCTGTCACATCATATCAGTTATTATGATAAGCACGACATCTGCATTACAAAATTTAATTCATATAACATCCTAATGACACAAGTAAATTTTATCATTCTCATTTTATGTGAAGAAACTGACATATCTAGAGGCTAAAAAAATACTGAAGTTCTCAAAGACAGAAAGTGGCAGAGCTAGCTTTTGGGCCAGCATCTTTTTCACATGAGAGCCAATGATCTTTCTATGTGATACTTTGCTAAGAGTTTGATGTCTTCCTGGAAGAAATGAACAGTAAGATGCCAACCTGCCACTCTGAGAGTGGGAACATTTTCTGAAGGGAGGCGGAGGGGTTAATGAAAATTTCTCCTATAAAAACATCAATTTGTAAAGAAAGCACAGACCATTTTTTAAAAAGATTTTAAACATCATTAGGAACAACCGAAACCCTCTGGCAGAATGCAGATCTCACGGTCATCTACCCTCACTGTCTTACCTGCCTGGGTGGGGTAGATGATGAAATAATCACTGAATGTGGGCAGCCTCTTCTTCTCTGATACGTCATCTGAGTCCATGGGTTCATCATCTGTTTCAACACCATTATCTCTTCTCTCTGTTTTTTGAGGAATGAAATACAAACAACAATAATACATCACTAACACCAGTAACCCTTAATAAAAATCACAAAAGGTCTGTATCCTCCACGAGAGAGAGAAATATCCACAAAAGCTACATGAGTCAGATGTTAGTCCCACAGGCTTCCTGGAATTACAAGGATGGTGAAATGTCCCTTGGAAATCTCAGAATTTGAGATTTCCAGACTCGCCCCATGAAGTCGGTGACTTGGACCGTTCCTCAGCCTAAGTTAGAGATTCTATCTCAGGTAAGTTTTACATCCATCTCTTCCTTCCACTCAAAGTCCCTAGTCAACTGCACAACCGAGGTTACATCAGCTCAGGGTCCTCTAATTTAAAATGTAATATTTACATTTTTTAAAACTTACTTATTACTTACTTATTCTCTTTCCTCAATCATCAATACAAGAATTCCCTAGAAACATGACTATTACAAAGAAGCCTCCACTTACCTCCTCTGCATGCCTGGATTATAAAGATCTTTGGTTTCTCGTGAAGTGCTGGACAATTTTTATTGTTAAACATTTCAAAAACATTTTCCAGGCTGACTCTGTCACCATCTTCCATTTTAATAAAGCCATTTTCTCCGTGGGACATAAGAGTAATAAGACAGCAGCCAATTTCATTTTTAATTCCATTTAATCCATCACGAAATGATGTTAGTTTTTCAAGTAACTCCTGTAAAATAGGATAACATATTAAAAAGACCTGAAGGTGGGAAAAATCAAAATGTTAGAGGTGGCCTCTTTACTACGAGGTGATCCAATGAGATGATAAATTTAAAAATACCTACATCTCTGACAGAGTTAGTATGAGGTAAATATTATTTTCTTATTACTCCTTTTTGGTTGCTCTCAGAATTCATCTGATTTCTTCTTATGCTACTGGTTCTTGTTTGACAAAATTAGGGCATTTCTGATTCTCTACCACAAAATACAACAGAATGATAGTTCCTCAAAGTGTTAATGTATTTAAATTTTATATTAACTTATTTTAATATATAAAAATTACTATTTTATAAAATCAATACTCTCAATAGGTAGAAATGGCAGGGAATGAAGGTGTCCACTCAGTAGTATAGACCTGCCAGTCTATCAGCAGATGTCATCAGAATCCATCCCACGAGAAAGAGAAGGTAGGAATGGCTGCCATCGCTACTTCCAAATGTGTTGTGATAAAGATCCTGCCCATCTCAACGAAGTAAAAATTAAATGAAGTTTAAATATTGGAAACAAAGAACCAAGACATTATTTACAGATAATTTGACTATCTAGAAATATTAAAAATCAACTAAAAAACTATTAGAACTAGAGATTAGCAAATTGACCGGATATAAGATTAATTTACAGAGATCTATGCTTTCCCAATTACCCAGCAATAATCATTTAAGCCAAAAAATGGAAAAAGGGTTCCCATTCGTGGTCATAACATAACTAAAATGCCTAGGAATAAACCTAACAAGGAATATATTACCTAAATGAAGAAAACTATTAAAAAAAAACTTTGGTGAAGAGACAGCATAAACAAACCTAGATATGCTGATGTTTCTGACTGAGATGACTCAATATTATTAATTTGCTATTCATTCCAAATTAATCTCAATTCAATATCATGTCAATCAAAATCCCAAAGGATTTCTATAGACTTTAACTAGATGATTCTTGGGGTAAAGAACAGATAATGTTCAAGAATAGCCAAGAATATTCAAATGGGGGGAAAAAAAAAAACAAGAAGTAGGGGACAGGTCCTATCAGACATCAAAATGTACTATAAAATCGTCGGGGGCGGGAAACACAGTGATATCCTGTCTATGGTCATGCCACCCTGAATGCGCGCCCAATCTCGGCTGATCTTGGAAGCTAAGCAGGATTGGGCCTGCTTAATGCTTGGATGGGAGACCACTTAGGAATATCGAGTGCTGTAGGCTTTAAAAAACAAACAAACAAACAAAAAACAGTGATAAACTGGCATATGTAAACAAATATATGAATAGAATATTTTAGAATCCAGAAATTAATCCAAGTACTACACACAGGAATTTAGTTCATGATAACAGTGGCACTTCAAATATGTGTCATTAAAAAAGGATGTATCATCATTCACTACATGTTGAGATGACTATTTGGAAATAAAGTTAGACCTCCTACAGCAAAAATAAAATTCCAGAGAGCAGAAGGTAAACCTTAAACTATAAAAATATCACAGAAAAATAATTTTTAAATTTCTAAGTTGGGAAGGCATGGGGTTTGATCAAGACCAAGAAGCAGACAGATTGACAAGTTTACTCACAAGACTTCCATGTGACTTAAGATAACAAAAAGTTAAAAGGCAAGTAACAGGGTAGGAGAAAAATATTTGCACCATATTTTGTAAATAAATAATATTCAGGAAAATAACTTTAGGAAAAAAATCCAGTAGGAAAAAGGCCAAAGGATAAAACAGTTAATTTACAACAGGAAAAAAAAATGGCCAAAAGATGTTCAACCAAACTAATAACCTAGAAAATGAAACTTAAAACAGTGAAATACTTTTGCCAGTATGATGACTAAATATTTACATGTAAACGTTGACAGGATGTAGAGAAAGAGGCCACTTCTGGACCTTGGCAGAACACTGGCAATGTCTGCTATTTGAATGGAAGGGGCTTGATTAAAACTCATGTAATGTGGAAGGCAGTCTCGTATCATCCTTGGGGAAAACAAAGGAGTCTGTTTCTTAGCTTTGAAATAATAAAGTTGAAAAGTTATTGAGCACTTACTGCAAGTCAGCTACTATTCTAAGAAATTTTACACACGGAACCTCATTTCCTCCTCACAATAGCCCTACAAGATAATTTACTATCATCTTCCCCACTATAGAGATAAGAAAATAGTCAAGTAATTTTAGGCAAGGTTTCTAAAACTACTGTACTATTGATGTTTGCACTCGATCATTTTTTGCTGTAGGGGGCTGTCCTAGGCATTGTAGGATGTTTAGTAGTATCCCTGCCTTCCACACTGGATGCCATGAGCACCTTCCAGTTGTGATGAGCAAAAATGTCCCCAGACACTGTCACATGTCCTCTGTGGGACAAAAGCACCCTCAGTTGAGAACCGGATTTTAGGTAACACAACTAGTGTGAGACAGGGTTCCAATTCTGGCACTCTACACTGCACTCACTGCCCTTCGGTTATGCTGTTCCTTGATGTTCATTAGCAGTGACTCCTGGGATCTTGAAGGGCTTTCCGATGTCATTGTCCCAAAATACCGGGCAGGTCTAGGCCATGACTGAGCTAGGGTCGGAGAAATCAAACTGGTCGCCACCACCGCCACTCTTCAACCTTATTTTTTCTGTGCCATCTAGTTAAGCCACATGCGGTTCTGCCCAGGACTGTCAGGGGCCCCTCTTCTGGCCCATTACATGGTTCCAAATAAGTCCCATGAGGACTTTTCAAAGCCCGTGGGCTTGGGTGCTGCTGGAATCCCGCCTGCCTGGCCTCCTGCTGACCTCTCAAAACTCTTTCCTTGGACTTACCTGCTCCCAAATGCTCTGGACCTTGCCCATTCTGGACCCGTGGCTTGTCCTTGGGTTTCCTTGCCCACCTGGCCTAGGACACCTTCTTGGGTTCCTTTTTCCCTCTTTAACTGCACAGCTAAGACCGAAACTCAAGAGGTCCTGCTCCTCTGGAAGGGGAGCCGGGGTATCACGCACTTAAGATTATAAAAGTATCAAGAATTTCATCAGGATATACAGGTCACACTGCTCAGCAGATCTCAGTTCCTGCCAGGTACCAAAACCCATTATTTTTTTTTAAAAGGAAAGTTATAAAATCCAAGCTACAATTTTTCATTTTTAATTTGTTACCTCTTTGTCAGGATCGATGCACAATGTATATTCAAAGTGGCACTGGCCAAGCCAGTCCTTCATTAGCTTGACGTCCTGGTCAGCCCCTGGCCTGTTCTTCTTCACACACATGAGGAAAGCCTTCCGCCTGCCGCTCAGGTCATAACGGTCCTGTTTCCCAGCAAAGCCAAGAAGCAAAATTTAAACCAGAACACATTCAGAAAGCCAAATACACTAGATGCTGCTGAGCCCTGGACACCGCGAAGGGTTAGGGGCACCGACCCGCGCAGTCAGCCCTCAGCATTTGCGTTTGCGGATTCCCATCTGCCAGTGGACGCTTGAACAACGCGGGTTGGAACCCCGCGAGTCGGTCCTGATATAAGTGGACCGTGCAATCGAATCCCCGGGGGTTCAAGGGTCAACGGCATATCAAACGATGAGTTTCTCCTGGGATTGATTATTGGGGAACATTCCCGGTTCAAATCAGGGGCACGACATCGAGCGCCTCTTACTAATTGGGTGGGTACGGGGGAGGGGGGAGCGGTGACTTGATTTAGAATTCTTCAAATACCTTTCTCAGACTTAGACTCATAGGCCAGCCTCATTAAATTCCATAACTAATTTAAGGAAATAGAGGATAGAAGAAAATGACAACTAAGGGCTGCAGTCATCGAAATTCAGGTGAGACATTTTGTAGGACAAAAGAACCCTAGTTTCTTCAACAAATAACTAGAAAAAAGTTAAAGAGGGGGAAGTATCGTAAATTAAGTCTTAAGAGACAAATCAAACAAATGTAATTGTGTAGACATTATTTGAATAGTTCTGATTCAAACAAACCAACTGTAAAAGACATAAGAACGGGTTAAGGAAATCTGAGGAGTTTTGTTTCGTTTGGTGGAGTAAGGGTATTATGGTTCTGTTTAGAAAAAAAAGTCTTTCTCAGAGATACATACTAAAGTATATGTAGATGAAAGTGATATATCTGGATTTGCTTTAACATAATTAGGAGCGGGGAGCAGATGTAACAAGACTGGCCATTATGTTGCTAATTGCTGAGGCAGGATGTTAAGTATGCTGGGCTGAGGTTTGGAAGATTAATTTTTCTACTCTCTGTACTTTAGCATAGGCTTGAAATATCCATAGCAAACGTTTAAAAGAAAAACGTGCAGGCAGCAATTTTCGCAGCTGCCTAAGGCCATGCGACAAGTCATTTTATCGCCAGTGCCTCACTTTCCTTGATGTGGAAAATGGAGATAATAACAGTGCCTATGAGGTTAATGTGTGCACAGTGGTTTCAACCCGCTCATGTTTAGCTTTTACTGTTGTCACAGAAAACGGTGAGATCTGACCACGTGAAACAACCACACAAGGTGTAGTGTGGCCTTTTAGCCCAACAGGAGCAGCACCCAAAATGCTTAAATAGTAGCTACATACTATCTTTAGTAACCAGCGGGTAGGGTTGGAGTTAAGAGTCAAGATATTTACCAATTCATCACCATCCACAAAGTCACGGCTTCTCTTTAGAATTTTTCTTGGGATTACTGAATGAATTTTCATGAAAAGAGAACAGAAAAAGAGCATTATTTTTTTCTTTTCAATCAAGATCTGCTGTTGTTCCTGTTAACAGGAAGCTCCTCAAAAAGAATTCAATTATCTCTTATGTTTTGGGGCCCAGTGGGCTATGACTGGTCTCATTTTAGAAGTTCCTTGGATTAGGAACCCTCCTCCCAAACTCATGAGGCAGGAAACCTAAAATAGATCTATCTCCCTGAGACTTCCGTCAGGTTCAGGGGCAGAAAGACCCAAGCCAGAGATTTAAAGGACCAGGACTGACATTACTGCACAGGCACTTCCTGAAGGGTAGACCAAGACATCAGTAAAAAGGTGACGTAAAGGAACTAAACCCTACTTTTTCTATTTAACATAATACCTTTGCATTCAATTTGAATACTTATTGGGTGCCTGTAGTGTGTAGCCCTGACATTATGTAGTTTGGATGATTCTAAGAAAGAAAAAAAAAAAAAACCACTTTGCCAACAGCAAGTGACTCACCATCTAAACAGGTGATAAAAATGTGGTACATAAAGAAGCACAACGTCAGCTCTGTGCATGTGCAGTAGAGGAAGGGCAAATCAAAGACTCAGTGGGGTCAGTCCTACAAGGACATGTTTGTGGATGATTACAGTTCTCATCCATTACAAATCTACAAAAATCAGCAATAGCTACATACCTCAAAACTCAACCAGGTCATAAGCATGCTGAGAACACAGACCATCACAGTACATCTCAGCGTCTACCCCAACGCCTCACATATAAGAGCTGCTGCCTCTCCTCTCCACTCATATCATGGACACATACACTAATGGGGGAGGGGACAAAACTCCCTCAATCTGCTACATACTGCATTTCTTGATCTTAAGCCACATCCGTCCACTTTTATGGCAAACGGCCTAACGCTATGCAAGAAGAGGATTTCCCCCCCCCGCCCCGCCCAAGAAAAAAACACACCCACCCACCCACTGGAGATGTGGAGATGCGGCAGTGGGAATTCCGACACTAGGTTTCTCACTGAATCATCTATAAACCTCCACATCACAATCACTTGGAGGTACTTGTTTTAAAATGCATCTCAGGCCTGCTGAGTCAGTCTGATTTCTGAGCCCACCCCCAAAACAAATTAGCAGACCCTGATGGCTACTCTTCGACTGGACTCTCGATCCGAGCCTGGGACCGGTGACTCTCCTGCCCGCTCACCCCCGGGCTCCCACCTCCCGCAGCAGGTTGACTTGGTCCCTCGACGCCCGCACCCTCCTGGCTCCGATTCCCCCTCCCCGCTGCTCCCCTCCTGGTCCTTCCCCCCCTCCTCGCCCCCGTCACTCACCCGGGCGCCCAACGGCTCCTCGGGGCCAAACCCCACGTTCACCTAGGACCCCACCCCGTGTCCTTCCCAGTCCTCCAGCCCGGGAATCCCCGGCGGCTGGGCCAGCCCCGCGCTCACCCTGGCTGTCGGCGGCGGGGTCGCTCTGCCAGCGCTGCAGCAGGTCGGCGCGGCGCAGCTGCTGCAGCACCTTGGTGACGACGCGCGGCGCGGCCGGCAGGTAGTAGTGCTTGGCGAGGAGACGCGCCAGCCCCGATGTGCTGCCGCCCTCCAGCTCCAGCTGCAGCGGACTCAGGCGCGGCATCTCGTCCACCGTCTTGAGGATGACGCGGAAGTTGCGCAGCTCCTGCGGGGACAGCACGTCCAGGGTCTCCTGCAAGCGGCTCTGCAGATCCTCCATGGCCGGCATGATCTTCGGGGGCGCCCTGGGGTCGTCGGACTACGAGCGCCCACCGCTCCCCGGGCTCCCCTCCATCCACGCCCAACCGTACCGAAGCGCCCGGGCCCGAGGGACCAATCCCAGGAGGTCCCAGCACCGCGCGCCGCACACGCCTCCCGCTTCACCTCTTTGTTTTGAAAAAAGGAGGCGTTTCCGCTTGACGGTAGCGGCCGGGTCGACTCATAGCCGCCGCCGCCGCCGCCG